TCTCCACGCTGTTGTCGCCCTGTTGATGACGTCAGCGACGCGGTTTAATCGGGCGCAGCTTAGTCGAGCGCGGTTTTGACGAATCACGCCTAATTGGAAGATAACTTGGGGATAGCAGAGGGAACTGTCCTTTGTATTGTTTGCGCGGGAAAACCTCAGATTCGGCTTTGCTTACTTCCGCAACCATTTAAAGCTTCCGTAAAGTCTACTCTTGGCAAAAAACAAACGGCCAGGAGCCTTTCTTTGCTGGGTGACTGAGTGGGACGATTGGCAACCACCCCCGAGACAGGAGGAGGATCTCCCACAAGGCCATACCTTCGGGCCCCGGGCACTGCCCTCACCAAATTCCTCATAGTAAAGCAAGAGGCCGCTCAGCTGGAGGATTTTTTGCACAAACGGCGGAGGCTGATGGATGTCAACAGCTAGCGCCTGCCCGGGGTCCCGCACCACTTCATCACAGTAGTCCAACCTGTAAAGAGAGGAAGGGGGGACATCAGAACAAGACCCCGGCCATTTCCCACCATGCTAACTCAAGGCAGTGGCCTAGAGGTGGAGCTCTCGCCTCACAATCAGGAGAGACCGTGAGTTCAATCCTAGGTAGAGGCAGATATTTCTCTCTCTGGGCACAATGAGAATGTATCTGCTGAATAAAACTCCGCATTCACGACAGGAAGGGCATCAGGCCAGTAAACACTCAGCTCCATTCAGCTGCCCAGACTCCACTCTGCAAGGGATTGTGTGGCCATTAAATGAGGGTGATAAAACAATTCAGAGGCTTCATTTAGATCCCCTGCCCACCTGCACCCCCGCAATATGATTCTGACAGTGTGCACGAGTGGGACTGCTTGTAATTGACAGAATTTGTCTGCAATCCTGAATCCTAACCACTTCGCCACCATGGCTCTTAATGTTTGGTAGTGTTTTGCCCACTCTTGGGTGCACTTTAATCCCACTGCCTTTTTCAGTTAACCCCCCCTATTGTGACCTTCCTCCAGGGGTGGGATTCAAAAATTTTAGCAACCAGTTGCCCAGTTGCTGGATGGGCATAGCCTCCTTGGCCTGTGCACCACAATGGGAGGGAGGGCGCTTTCGCCTTTCCCAGGCTCCAGAAGCCGGAAACAGGCAGTTTCCAGACTTCCGGAACTTCCAAGAGGCCCCTTTTTCGTCCTCCCACAGCCTCCATGCGGGCCCTACCCTTACCTGGCATCCAGAATGGGCTGCGTGGAGACTCCTGGGAGGGAGGGGCGAGCGTGGCCAGCCAGTCCTTGCAATGACCGGTTCAGCAAACCAGATGTAAAATTAGCATCTACTTCACCCGAACTGGTCCAAACTGGCTGAATCCCACCGCTGCTTTCCTCCAATGATGCCCTCCAGATGGTTTGAGGTGCCCGTTTCCCAGAATCCCCCAGCCAACATGGCCCCTAGAAATGCCCTTCCTTCCTACTCCATGACTTTCTTTTTTATTTTTAATATTTTTTACACCACACATTTTTTCTTTACATGTCTCTATCACATATTTAATAGATCTGTGGCATTGTTCATTTAACTAGGATCAATATTTGTTTGTATACAATTTACCGTATTTTTCAGAGTATAAGACGCACCAAGGTTTTGAAGAGGCAAGTTAAAAAAGTTTTTATACTCCGCAAACCTCCCAAAAACGGCCCGTTTTTCGAGAAAACGGGCCCATTATTTCCAACCCCCCCCCCAAAAAAGAGCATGAATTGTAGAGTGGTCTCGGGAGGGAGGGGGGAGAAACTGAGCAAAAAACGTCCCTTCTTTTTGCAAAAACGGGCCTGTTTTTTGTCAAAAAAAAAAAGAGTATTAGGGAGCTTATAGAGTGCTCCTGGGACTGGGGGCGGCAAAATTGAGCAAAAAATGGCCCATTTTTCGCTCATTTCTGCCCTCCCCAGCCCCCAGGAGCTGTCTGAAAGCCTCCTAAATGCTATGCTCAACCATTTTGGTGAAGGGGGTGGGGTTTGGGGAGGCAAAAAAAAAATGCTGTATTCGGTGTAAAAGAGGCACCCAGATTTTCAGCCTTTTTTTTTGAGGGAAAAAGGTTCGCATTCTATTCCCAAAAATACGGCATATACATTCTATTTCCAAACATTCTAACCCAATGTACATTTCCGTTTCTCATTTCTACTGTCTATCCTTGTGAGGGCAAACCTATGGCCCACGTGCCAGAGGTGGCACGCAGAGCCCTCGCTGTGGGCACAATGGCCATTGCCAGATGGTCTTCTGGCATGCATGTCAGCTGCTCTTCGTGGAGCATCGAAAAATGGCCTGAAAAACAGCCAAAAAAAAAAGAGTTTTTGGAGGCATTTTCAGGCTGTTTTTAGACCGGTTTTAGGCATTGGGGGGACGTTTTTGGTCTGAAAATGGCCCCAAAAAACGGGCCAAAAACAGGCATGCACTTCCCGGCCAGCTAGTCTTTGGGTTTCCAGCACTTTGGCATGCATCCATTTGCACACATGTTCTGATTTGGGCACTCCGTGCCGAAAAGGTTCATCATCACTGGTCTCTCCATTCATACCATTTCTCCCATACCGCATAATATTCCAAATCATCCTTTCCCTTTAATGTGATTTTGACCCCATGGCTTTCTTGATAGAATTGGGATGGGGGGGGGGGACCAGGCATCAAGAGCCACCCAAAGCTGACCTTTTGATGTGAATTTCCAGGGCCACACCGGGTGCCTCCCTGCTTCTGGGCGTGTGCTCCACCCGTATCACCGTGTCCAGAAAAGTCACTTCGATCCGTCTTAGGACTGAGTGGGGGAGAAGAAGGAAAAAGACCCCAAGGAGGATTACGGGCTGCAGCACTGGGAAAAGTCAACTTCTCTTCACCCATCGAGACTTAAGACAACCTGTCTTGGCTCTGATTTATTTAAGGACTGGTGTTCCTTGCGCCATAATTGGGTTTTACTCTGGAGTGGCCAGGCCCAGGGTGGTGAAGATCTCCAGCATCCGTCCCATCACTGGCCTACTGCAATCCGATCTCATTCATGTCTCTGACCCAAGTTTGTGACATTTTCTTAGCAGTCATTAAGCAAACACAGCCTGGGCTGAGCTGCCAACAGACTCACCCTCCAACTCTCGGCTGCTTCGGTCTCCTCTTCTTTCCACCCCTTTCCCAGCCCTGTCTCTCCCACCTGCCCTCCCATCTACCTGTTTCGATGGTTTGGGCAAACATCTCCAGGCCTTCCAGAGGTTGGCTGGCATCCGAAGGCTCCTCCGTCTGTTCCTTCAAACACTCCTGAGCCAGCTGCATGGAGGTGGTCATGCAGGAAGCCCAGCTCTGGGAATCTGAGCCAGCATGACCTGGGTGGGAGAAAAAATATCTGTGGGAAAGTGGCATGTAAATAGGCCTAGGAGGCAGCTTGCAGGCCTCGCTGAACCAAAGTTTTAAACTAACCTAATTGCAAAAGATACCAGGCATATTTCAAAGGTGCTGAGTTGTGTCTAACTTTGGTGCTTTTTTTTCTGCAAAGTTTGTACTTGAAATGGATATATTTAGAGCAAGAAGAATGAGATAGTGGGAAATGAGGAACTGAAAGTAACAAGTGTCTGAGAATAGAATAGAATATGAAACAGAATAGAATAGAATATGGAATAGGCTAGACTAAACTAGAATAGACTAGAATAATAGACTAGAATAGAATGAATAGAAGAATAGAATAGAGTAACAGAGTTGGATGGGACCTTGGAGGTCTTCTAGTCCAACTCCCTGCTTAGGCAGGTAACCTTACACCACTTCAGACAAATGGATATCCAACGTCTTCTTTAAAATGTCCAGTGTTGGGGCATTCACAACTGCTAGAGGCAAGTTGTTTCACTGATTAATTGTTCTCATTGTCAGGAAATTTCTCCTCAGTTCTAAGTTGCTTCTCTCCTTGATTAGTTTCCACCCGTTGCTTCTTGTTCTACCCTCGGGTGCTTTGGAGTAAGTAAGTAAGATCTTTATTATGGTCAAAGACCAGCAATATACATTTGTTTTTACACTATATTAAAAAGTACTAACATTAAAATATAATTAAAAGTATTGACATTAAAAGTGGATAATAACATTATGGTCCAAAGATTGTTAAAGGTATGTCCAGATAATTGGTACAAGATGGTACTATACTGTAGCCAATTTTTTTCTTATGGACATTGCAGCAGCACAGAACTTTGCCACTGCATACGTGGTAACCGGGTTAGTGTCCTGGAGGAGAAAGCCTAGATAAAAATTGTCTGCCCTCCCTGGCAATCTCTCTAATTAGGGGAGAATATATGCAGACCTACAAGCTCTGTATAGCTCGCAGTGTAATAGTACATGTGAATTATCTTCCACTTCTCCTTACCACATATACAAACGCGTTCGGCTATAGGTGTTCTCTTATACCTGCCCTGGAGGAGTGCTGAGGGAAGAATGTTAAATCTGGCTCTGAAGAAAGCTATTCTTTGTTTTGGGGAGATCAGGTCATTTAGATATCTTGCCGATTCCCACACATCCTGTTTGATTCTGTCCCTACTGTGGAAAAGCAACCTATTTAGTTCTTCTTGGAACTCCATGTCCCTCATTCTATTGATTACTACTTGCTTTGCTTGCTCAAAGCCTAGGGACATTAAGAATAATGGTGAGAGCCCATAAGAGCCCAGCTTGTGATCAATTGCTTGTTTCCAGGGGAAGGGAAGTTGTCAGTCAACACTAGTGGGGACAGTCCCTCTGGAAAGAAATGCATTTTAAGCCAATAAATGATCATCATCTTCCAGGCTCTTACTTGAATTTGAGGCATGGGGTGCTTTGGAGAATAGTTTGACTCCCTCTTCTTTGGGGCAGCCCCTGAGATATTGGAAGATGCTATCATGTCTCCCCTGGTCCTTCTTTTCATTAAACTAGACATACCCAGTTCCTGCAACCGTTCCTCATATGTTTTAGCTCCAGTCCCCTAATCCTTTTTGATGCTCTTCTCTGCACTCTTTCTAGAGAACTTCGAAGGTACACGTGGGGTGTTTGCAGAGAGTGACGGTCAGTAAGGCAGAACAAGGAAGTAAGTTGTGAAATGAGTGCAGAAAAGTATAAAAAGATCGTGTTGGGAAGAGTTCAGGGCCACTGGCCGTAGCTAATCCTTGCTATGATAGTGGACCTTATTGCAATAAGATGCTAATTTAAATAATGCTATGTTTGCTATTCGTGTTCAAAAATTGTTTATGAAACAATAAACCTCTGGTCTTAGAGACAGATTTATTGCCTGTGGCTGCCCTTTGTTTTTTTATCGGGATATTTTTACGACAAGGGGGGGGAGGAGGAGGAGGAGAAGGAGGAGGCATGGGTAGGTCAGAAACACAGGTAAGGAAGCAGAGAAAGGCAGTCAGACGCTCCCTTAAACATGAGCCAGCCTAGAGGTCGTATTCAGCCAGTTTGGCTGAATCAGCGAATTGGTAGTGGCAACCAGCGGGTGCAACTGTATGCCATCCTATTTAGCCACGTTTTCGAAGCCGCACGCATGCAAATCAGTGGTCAACTTCTGCGAAACCCACCTCTGAGCCAGCCAAAAAAGCCAATACAATCTCTGGTTGTAGAAACAGAGGCATAGGATCCAAATCATACCAAGTATTAGTACTGCTTTATAAAGCCATAGTGAGGCCTCACCTGGAATGCCGCATCCAGTTTTGGTTTCCACAGTACAAAAAAGACGTGGAAACTTTAGAAAAAGTTCTTAAGAGCAACTAAGACGATTAAAGGCTTGAAACATATTTTGCAGGAATTAGATATGGCCAGTCTAGAGAAAAGGAGGACCAGGAGGGACATCATAGCAGTTATTCCAGTTTTTGTGGAGGTGCCACGAAGAGGGGAGGGTCAACTTATTCTGCAAAGCACCAGAAGGCAGGACAAGAAACAATGGATGGAAACTAACTGAGGAGAGATGGAACCTGAAATTAAGGAGAAACTTCCTAACAGTGAGGCCAATTACCGTATTTCTCGGCGTATAAGACACTCCTTTTCCCCCTAAAAGAGGGTGAAAATTTGGGTGCATCTTATACACTGAATGTGGCCCCAGCCACACACCGGCCCCACCCTTTGGCCTCTGACCCCCAGCAATTTACCTTCTTGCAGCAAAGGGGGGCTTGTGGAGGCTTCAATAAGGAATAGCAATCCCGGCAGCCTGAAACAGCTGAAGATTGGGAGAAATTGAAAGTGAAACTTATTGTTTGCTCCACCTGGCAAATTGTTGGGAGGCAGATTTGTTTTTTCTTGTGCTAATCAGGCTGTTTGCTGCAAGGAGGTAAGTCAAGAACTATAAATGCCTATAGAATGTTCAAAATATTAG